CATGCATGTGCATGCAAGCGCGATGCACAGGTGTGCATGGCACATACACGTGTGTGCATGTGTGAGCACATGACAACATATGTGTGGGTGCAGGCATGTGGGAGCATGGATGCGTGTGAACGCACATCTAACCTGTGCACACATGTGCTGGTGTGTGTGAGCGAGTGTGGTGTGCATGCATCCGTGTGAGGTGTATGTGGGTGTGCATGTGAGTAGCACGCATGCACACGTGTACATCGAGACCCCTTGTCATTTACCCCAGCTGGGTCTGCAGACCCTCTCTTATGGATGAGGAGGGTCCCAGGCCTCAGCGGGCTCAGGCTCTGGGCCATGTCACTTGAGGGTGTTGTCCCCGTGGCCGGCCAGGCATTGGTGGTGGGTGTCACCTCTGCACCTTCCTGCTGGTTCCTGCCGTTCTTACCCTGGGCCCTGGCACCAGGCGGATGCCACCAAGTCCTGAAGCCCCACAGAGGGTGATGCGTGGCCGCCTGGCTGCATTCCACGTGGGACAGGGACGGTTTCTTATCAATAGCCCTGTTTCTTATCCATTTGGATGATAAAGCAAAAAGTAAAGACTTAAAGTCCCAGAGATGTTTCTGACAGTTTTCCTTCCGGATGACTCTAGGTGAACAGTCTCCAGACGGTCTTCATAAACGTGTACAAGGTCTTCCTGCTGCAGGCCTACAGGTGAGCCGCCACCAGAGGGAGGCACTCAGCCAGGGATGCCGGGTACCTGCGGCTGTCACCCTGGCCTGGAAGGAGCTTCCTGCTGAAACTCTCCCCTGGTGTGTGTGTGTGGCGGGGGGTGTCAGTGGATGCCGCAGTGGGCTCAGGGACCCCAGGAGCACAGAGGATGGAGGTGGCTGCAGACGAGGGTTGCCAGCCCCGCACCCCAGGAAGGCACCGTGGCTCCCAGAGCAGCCAAGTCCCTCCCTGCTCCCACCTGGGCGGGTGCTCAGGCCTAACAGTACTTCTGGAAGGTGCCCTGTCCTTGGCTGGTTCTGAGGCCACTTACCAAGAACTGGGGGGTGGGCAGGAACCACGTGGAGATGGGCTGGTCAGTGTCCACGCTTTCCCGGGTCTTTGATGGGAAAATAGTTCCACCCAAGGTTTGTTTTGTTCCCTTGGGAGCTGGCCTGGGTCATTCATCAGGCAGGTCACTTTTGCACCTTGGCTGTGGGGACACACAGTAAATATTTGTTCTCTGCGGTCTGCAGCGGGAACCTCCCCCTGCAGCTCTGGGATGGGAGCTCACTTTCCATTGACTATTGCAGAGCAAGGGCTGCCCTGCGGAGGCCGCGTCGGTGGTCACCATTCTGCCTGGAGTTGGGTCGGATGGTGGCGTGTGCGTGCACACATAGGTGTGCATGAATGTGCATATACAGTGCACACACAGACACATGTGTACGTTGATATGTGCAGGTGTACACACAAAACCCATGCACATGTGCACATGCCCTCACGTACACGCATGCACGGGTGCACATGTGTGAGCACATCCTAACTAGGGCCACTCCTTTAGTAGCATTCGTCGCCCTCAGGTTCCANCATCAGGCAGGTCACTTTTGCACCTTGGCTGTGGGGACACACAGTAAATATTTGTTCTCTGTGGTCTGCAGCGGGAACCTCCCCCTGCAGCTCTGGGATGGGAGCTCACTTTCCATTGACTATTGCAGAGCAAGGGCTGCCCTGTGGAGGCCGCGTCGGTGGTCACCATTCTGCCTGGAGTTGGGTCGGATGGTGGCGTGTGCGTGCACACATAGGTGTGCATGAATGTGCATATACAATGCACACACAGACACATGTGTATGTTGATATGTGCAGGTGTACACACAAAACCCATGCACATGTGCACATGCCCTCACGTACACGCATGCACGGGTGCACATGTGTGAGCACATCCTAACTAGGGCCACTCCTTTAGTAGCATTCGTCGCCCTCAGGTTCCACGCATGTGTGCTGCAGCTTCCATTCAACCAGCAAGTTTGGAAGAACCCCTCGTTCTTCCTGCGGATCATTTCTGACACCGCCTCCCGCTGCTTCTCCATTCTGAAAGCCAAGAACGCAGGTATGTGCAGGTGGACCCTGCCCGCTGCACCCCAGCACGCTGCTCGCGGGTATGTGGGGCCGCGTGAGGTGCTGGCAGAGCCCGGGATGCTCAGGAATGAGCGGCTGCCCGAGAGCCTCTGACACGAACCTGCCACGTGCCCCGTGAACACCCGCTGAGGGCGTCAGGAGACTTGGGGAACCGGAGATTAGGAAACTCCCACTTTCTGCACATCCAGAAGGGGTTTAACTTGCTGACCGCTTGCAAACCTCGTCTCACCCACCTGCAGCAGTGCAAGTGCAGGACTGTGCTGGGAGTGACTAGGGGACATCACGAACTGGCCGCGTGTACTTCCCGGCCTCACTTGGCCTTCTCCAAGTGTCGTCAGAACCGCAAGTGGGGACACCAGGCAGGGTCTCGCCTGTGTCCGCCTGCTCATCCCGAGACGGGGACCAAGCCTCCTCCCTCAGTGGCATTTCAGGGGCCCTGGCACAAGTCCAGGCCCGGTGGACAGAAGGAGGCTGGGCCCCAAGCACCAGTGCTGTAGCCGCCCCCCACCCATCGCAGGGCCCAGCAGCGACATGCGGCCCCCAGCAGAGCTGCCTGCCCTTTTCTGCTCCGTGTTCACCGTGCTCCAGAGCCGCGTCTCATCCGAGACCTCCTTTTGGCCCGCTCACCCCTCTCTGTGGCCTAGTCATGGCATTTCTGATCAGTCTGAAAATCCTGAGTTCAGCAGATTTTACTTTTGTGAATTTTATTTTGTGGAAATTTCCTTTGGAGAAGTTAAAGACGTTTCAGCTGTCAGGACCCTGTGGGGCTGGGGCTGGGGCAGCAGCCCCTCCACAGAATCACCTCATTCCTGGACCTGGACTACGGGGAAGTTGAGGGAGCAAAGGCATCTCTCAGGAGGAGAGCTGGGGCTGGGGGCTGGGCGGGGGTCCTCAGCCTCGGTGTGCTCCCCAGGGACGTCAGTGGGGGCCAAGGGCACATCCGGCCTGGTTCCCCGTGAAGCCGTGTGCTGGCTCTGCCATCGAGCCTTCCTGCTCAAGCTGACGCATCACCTTGTCACCTACAAATGTCTCCTGGGCACGCTCAGGACAGGTAAGCAGGGTGCAGGTGAGGCCGGGATTGCTGCTGGGCGGCATGCTGCAGTGGATGTGGGGAGTCCCCACTGGCAGCCGGGTGGCTGGGGACAGCGTCCCAGGGTCTCCACTTTCTGCTTCTCGCCTCGGACTTAATGCCGCCCATCTCGGGAGAGGCCAGTGGGGCAGCGCCAGCCCTCAAGAACCTTGTGCCTCCTGACCTGCATCCCTTGCAGCCTCTGCCCTGGCTGCTACCCCAATGCCCCCCAATGCCTGCCCGGGGCCTCAAGTGTTTACTGCAACATGCCCCCGTGCCTGCCGCGCTGCTCTGTTGCTCACTGGGTTTCTCATCTGCTCCAGCAGTGGGGGGTGTCCACTGCTCACGGGGCTCCCCCAGCCTGGCCCCGCGTGTGCCCTGGACACTAGGCTGAAGTGCCTTCTCTCCGGTCTGTCGCGGAAGTGGGTCTCATTTCTAGTTCTCTTGCAGCCCAGATGCGGCTGTGCAGGAAGCTTCCTGAGGCCACGAAGGCCATGCTCGAGGCCGCAGCCGACCCGGCCCTGACCACAGACTTCAAGACCCTCTTGGACTGACAGCCTTTCTCCCAGCTGGATGGACTCGGGCACCAGCAGCCCCGGTTGTGCCTGGTTCTGCGTCTGAGAGAAGAGTTGGGGTGCCACTGGGAGGCCCTGGCGCTCCCCCAGCACCCCCAGTCCTGAGCTGCAGGGCAGGAGCTTGTCCCGATGCACTTCTTCCCATGGTGGGGGCTGGTCCCCTCCTGGTGATCTTAGGGAAACAGGGCCTGCCCACCACGATCCTCATGACCTGGGGCATCCATCCTTCAGCCACTGACTGCCAGGGAGAGACAGGCGAGCGAACCTGGCTGGGTGCTTTGGGCCTGTCTGGACAGGGTGTGAGGATCCGCCCTGGCCCTCGGTGTCGAGGAGCTATCGGCCCCACCCCTCACGATGGGGGCTGTCTCAGGACTCAGCTCTACACCCCATCATGCTGCTCTGGCGTGGAACACGGGGAGGCCTAGCGGGTGTGGGTTCCTTCCCGCCAACCTGGGAGCTGCCCCCCACCCTGAGCCACGTCCAGAGTCCACTTCTAATCGAGCTCTCTTTGCAAGCAAAGGGCCAAGTCAGCTTGAGGCCCCGGCCCCACCCAGCCGCGCCCCAAGCACCACATCCCCGCGCCAGCCCTGCACCCGAGCACCCGCCCCCACCCCTGCACCCTCACTGCCCAACTTCCCAGCTGGCCTCTGCCTACCCCTCACCCCCCGGCACTCCAGGGACCCTCCAGCTCGGGGTTCTGTGGCTCTGCCAAGTGAGGAGACCCTCAGGCCTGGGCTCCCTGCCCATGATCCAAGTGGAGACACCGGTGAGGACCTGGGGAGCTCTCAAAATATCAAGGTGGCTGTAGGTGCAGCTTGTGCATGGTGAGGACACTGCACCTGGCGGGGTCTCCATGGTAGGTCGCCATGGGGGTCTGCAGAAAGAAAATAATGAATCTCTGTTTTTTTTCAGTTTTTAAAAATTTCTCCTCTTTGAATTGTAATGTGCACCATGTGAGCACAGTTGCACACAGTTGTAAAAGCAGTACACACTTGAGTTGGGGTCACCACAGGCCCGTGGCCTGGCTGCTGTCTGAGGGGGTTTCTGGCGGTGGTGACCTGAGGCATGAGGGATGGAGGGTGGTGGCAGGTGGGCAAGGGGCCCCCTGGGGGAGGAGACCTGGGCCCTCCACCCTGCCTGCAGCTGACCTGTGGCGGAGCTCTGTGCCCTGGTGGGTGGGAGATCTGTGGTCTAGACGGGCTTCCCTCTTGCAGACCCCCAGGGCTGTCAGTGTGTGACTGGGAGTGGGGGCACTGTCTCACAAAACCTGACATTTCTCCTGAGCACCTCAGTGCAGGTTAAAAGTCACACGAATCTGGCCTTCAGAGTGGGCCACTAATTCTGATCTTTCTGGAGGGTTCTGTGGGGTGGGGCAGTGGAGGGCCGTGCATGCAGTGGGGTCCTGCTGATAGCCCACCACCGTGTCCAGTCTCCAGCCTCTGTCACCAGGGTCTGAACACCAGGGCAGGTGAAGGTGCAACATGTGGTGAATGGGCAGGTCCCCACATGCTGCCACTGTCCACCCAAGAGACAGCTTGGTATGCCTGACCCATGCCTGGCGCGGAGCTGGGTGCTGATCTCAGGGCCATGGTGTCTGGGGAGGGGACATGGGCAGATGTGTCAGGACAGTGTTATGGAAATGAGGGGTGCTGGGAGAGCTGGGTCCCCAAGGGGGAGTCCTGGGCCCAGCCAGTAGGGTCGTGGTTCCCTCCACGGGGCCGAGGTGGAATCCTGCTCACAGAACTGGTCAGGGTCCTGAGACCCACAGTGGGGCCTCCCCACTGGGGTGGGGGCATCAGAGGAGTCTGGAGAGGAAGGATCCACGGGAGGTGGATGGGATGGACTCTGCAAAGATTTGGGGTTTAGGGTCACGGCCTTGGAGGGGCTGCACTGAGTACCACAGGGAGAACAGGTGGACCCTCCTGGGCGTGGTGAGAGATGGCCAGTGCCTGGTAGGCAGCAGATCTCAGTGGCCACTTGGGGGAGGGGGGCAGATGGCCCCTCAGGTGACTTGGGAGGTGTGTGAGGCCAGGGTCTCAGACCTCAGCCTCCAGAGTCTTTGGGGGGTTTGTGGGATCACACCCCTCAGGTCAGGTTCAGCAGGTCTGGGGTGGGGCCTGGGAATCTACATTTTAACAAGTTCCAGGTGATGATGCCGCTGGGGGAGGGGCACGTTGAGGACCACGGCTGGGGGTGCAGCAGGAGGACTTGCTGGGTTTGGGGGCTGTGGGACTGGGGTCAGCTCTGTCCACAGCCTGCTCAGGAGTTTGGAGGTGGGTGGAGGGGCCTAAGGAGGGCAGGGATGTGGGGACGCAGCAGCCAGGGGCTGGAGCTGGGGCTGGGGAGGACAAGTGAGGATGGAGAGCAGGTTGGAGGCAAACCCAGAGCGAGCCCAGAGGACACGCAGGGAGCCCAGAGGACATAGAGTGAGCCTGGAGCACATGCAGGGAGCCCAGAGGACATAGAGTGAGCTCGGAGCACATGCAGGGAGCCCAGAGGACACAGAGTGAGGCTGGAGCACACGCAGGGAGCCCAGAGGACATAGAGTGAGCCCGGAGCACATGCAGGGAGCCCAGAGGACACAGAGTGAGCCCGGAGTACATGCAGGGAGCCCAGAGGACATAGAGTGAGCTTGGAGCACATGCAGGGAGCCCAGAGGACACAGAGTGAGCCTGGAGCACACGCAGGGAGCCCAGAGGACATAGAGTGAGCCCGGAGCACATGCAGGGAGCCCAGAGGACATAGAGTGAGCTTGGAGCACATGCAGGGCGGCCGGTGGACACAGCGAGCCCAGAGGACACACAGGGAGCCCAGAGGACACAGAGCGAGCCTGGAGCACATGCAGGGAGCCCAGAGGACATGAGCGAGCCCGGAGCACATGCAGGGGGCCCAGAGGACTCAGAGCGTGCCCGGAGCACATACAGGGAGCCCAGAGGACATAGAGTGAGCTCGGAGCACATGCAGGGAGCCCAGAGGACA